CCCCCCCAATCTCTGAAAAGCAATGGAAAAAACATCGAGTGAGGATTAAAAAAAAAAAAATTGGATAATAAGTGTGATTCAGCTGGGGTGAATCACAATAAATACAAATCTCGGACTCTAGTCTAAAGAGATACTAAAAAATACGTCTCCCTCCCCCCACCCCTCAAAATTAGACCAATCCCTTAACATACCTGTAAGGAAAGCAAATCCAGCAAGAAGTCCCAGTCTTTTTTGCTCAGTTTCATGGCTATGAGGTATTGTCATCAGCCAAATCATCAACCCCAGGGAGCCCAGAGCAGAGAGCAGGCCAGCCTGTCAGATCCAGAGTCATAAGTGAATACTTGAAAGTATCGAATTATTTTGCAGGAGACTATTAGATTCAAATATTCATCTGAACTTCCTAGTATTTGCTTCTAACCTGGAAGCAGTGGAAAAGGCAGTGGGGGCTGAAGAGAAAAATCAGAGCCTTAAAGGACAGGGTTAGGAACATGGTAAATGTTGGAGGCTCTTCTGGCCTGGGTATTCCATCAACCACAACTATCCTAGATGAACTATGGGTCTTGCCCAAGAAATAGGAAATGAACCAAAGTGATAAGTACTGGAAGCACATTCCAATCTGTAGAACAAGTAGAAGTGACCCCTTTTTGATCACTTTAAAACACACACAAATACATATATACATATGAAGACTGACAGAGAGTGCTACAGACAGAATGTTTGTGCCCCTTATCCCAAATTCATGTTTAAATTCGAATCCCCAATATGATGGCATTTAGAGGTAGGGTCTATGGAAGGTGATTAGGTCATAAGGATGGAGCCTTCACGAAGGGGTTTAAGCAACCTTATAAAAGGGAACCCAGAGAGCTCCTTGTTCCTTCCGCCATGTGGGCCCTCACCACACAACAAATCTGCTGGTGTTTTGATCTTGGAATTCCCAGCTTTGAAAACTATAAGAACTATTTCTGGTTTAAGCCACCCAGTCTATGATATTCTGTTACAGCAGCCTGAAAGGACTGAGACAGAGGGTATGTATCAAAAAAATACCAAAACATTAAGAGTATGTAGTTATTTCTGGGTTATGGGATTATAGAGTTTTATATTCACTTATCACTAGTCTGTTATTTGAATTCTCTACAATGAACATGCCTCAGTTTTTTAAGAAAGAAAAAAAAAAAAATTCTTTTTTTTTACAAAGCCAGTGGGAAAAAGAGATAGGCATTTGAAAAGAGAGAAATCATTAAGGATGTATATAAGCGCTACAGTTTCTTTCTTCCTTTAAAGGTATACTCAATTGTTGTTTTCCACTACAGTTATGTTCTATCAAGTCACTATGAGCAATGAATTAGTGAGTGCTGAACAACTGCTCCTACACGAAATAAAACATTAGGTTCTTATGAGTCCCCCATCACAACATTTTCATAAACTGATCAATATACAACCTTGTTTTATGTGTGTTTTCTGTTTAAAAGCACTTAGATATATATTGTCGGTTCATTAACACTGAGCTCAGTCACAGCACTATAACTCATGCTGGAACAAAGCTTATCTAACACATATTTTCTCCAAAGGTACATGGCAGTCTTCTCTGCCAATTAAGAGCACTTTAGCACTGTGCTTGGAGCCATTTTAAACAGCAAAATTCTCAACAAAAAGCACAAAAATGCAAAAAGAAATGTCACACTAAACAGACTGTAAAAAGGACTATTGTTTACAGTTTGAGAGCTTGAAATAAGGCGGTGTGTTGCCTTGTTCAACCTCAGCTGGAACATGGGTCTGATGGGTAACTCAAACTTTGCTGCTCTGGGTATGACTACAAATGTCTACAAAAGTACTGACTTTAGGGTTACAAATAAATTTTAGCAAGTAGGCATATTTGGAAATATGAAATCTACAAATAATGAGGATGACTTTATTTTACATTATTTAAAAGAACCACTCTTGCCTAAAAGGTAGAATGCTTTTGTCTAAACTCAAGGGATTAAAGTCCTATTCTGAGTATCTAGACTAATTTTTCACACACCCCTGCAAGGAAATGCCTGAGCATAGGGACAGTTCTCAGCAGTGCCAATACCAACATAGGTACATCCGTGAACTTACACAAAAAAGGACACTCTCAAAGGAACAAGTCTTGGCTAGTGAGAACTTCAAACTTACTGATTACTCCTCAACTGTCCCCCTTCTATTCCAGCTGACCAAACCCAAATTCTCCCTCAACAAAGGAAAATGAGTTACTTAAGGGTTTCACTCAGCCATGCAGATAAATAAAATGGGTCAAATCCTTAAGGTCTCAACCCTGCCCCTCCTAATAATCAGTCACACAATCAGTGTCTTGTGCCTAAGTGCTCCACAGTCACTAAGGCAAGAGAGAGAAAGGCTACTGTAGGGAAGAGTCCCAGCAAGCACATCATGCCTCTACTCTCCCAGCAGGCACGTCATGCCTCTACTCAGTGGGCAGGGATCTTGAATATCAACAATACATCGTTCAGTGCCAGGGTAAGACACTCCAAAGCTAAACATTTCAGTATTTAGAGAAGGCAGGGTTGCCAGAAAATTTAAATGGCTCTACATGTCCTGATTTACAGACTGGCTTTGCCTGAGTTCAGATGCCAAACTACTGAAAAGGATGGAGGAGGGGCACATGCGTGTACCACCCTGCTGAGCTAGTTCCTTCCAATTATAATTTGTTGATCTTACCTGAATAAAATGAGTGACCACGTGGACATAGGCCCCCGCAGCTGCCACAAACATACAGAGCGCAAAACTGGCATAGACCTTCTTCAGGTGCTGCTGTGTTGAAGGAGTTCTAGGAAAGAATGTTAATAACAGCCATCACTCTGGGACCAATCCAATCTCATCCCTAACCTAAGAATCATTTCCTTCTCTTCTTCCCAGGGAATATGTGAAAGTTATATTACAATTAAAAAAAGGAATGTTTTGAAAATACCATTAACTAAAAGAGAATCTTAAAAGCTGGGGAAGAGCCAAAACCCCAAAATTATGAATAATCAGTACTGAAACTAGACTAACTAAATGGCTTTCCAGTGACCACACAGCAGTCCTTAGAATCTGGATGCTTATCATATCCTCAGGATTCTAGTAAAGTGTCTGTTAGTTTATATATACAAAAGTTAATAAACTAGGAAAAAGAAAAACCAGACATAAAAGGAAAAGCAAAAAGAAACTGTATTCAAGGTCAAAACACTCACATATGGGAAAATTTTAAGAGCGCATCAAAGTTGATCTTCCGATCAAATATGTTCATGATGTCAGAGTCTGCGGGACACAGCCTCCGCTCTGTAGAATAAAGAATAAAAGAAAGGTTATTTTAAAGGTACAAATACAAACAAAATAACAACTTTCTTATAAAAAACAGCAACATAAAAGTTTGGAAAAACAGAAGTTACTTAAAGTTCAACTATGCTAACGCAACCATTTTAATTTTTATATATTTCCTTCCCGAATACATTTGCAACCATAATCAACCATTTTATTAACTTATTCATTAAAAATTTTTTTCCATCACTATTTATCCCCCCAAAATCAACCATTTTAAAGGGGAGAGAGGAAACGAACTCATCTTCCTTTCCCCAAAGTATTTCATTACTAGAATTTTATTTCTATTCTTTCAGAAGGTGATTTGCCCCTTTAAAAGGCTGTTTCTTTGAGAAATTCTCAATTAGCAAACTAGTTAAAGCCACCCAGTCACTGGAACATAAAGCAATTTTATGTCATTGTTTCAAGAAGCTCCAGAATTCTCTCAGCAAAGGTATAGAACCTCAGAGATTTAAAAAAACACACACACAAACTATAAAGGTCTGCACTAGAACTTGAGTTTTAAAAATATACATGCAGAAGCTTTCTATCTAATGCATTTTAAAATTGAACTAAAAAAGGGATTCACAATTTTAAAAAGAGGAAAGTTCCTACTCCATGAAAAGAAACTTGTGCAAAAAGCATGTTTTTTTAAACATAATTTCAAACCTTTCCTACAAAAGAGTTGGTATAGTACAAGGAATTCCTGTATTCTCTTCACCCAGACTAAATGGCACTGTTTCACCATGTTTGCTTATCCTCTCTATACTACGGCAATACACAGACTTAAAAATATTTTCTTGCCATGCAAACACAATGCCCTTTTACCTCTAAATACTTTAGTGTGTATATCCTAAAAGCGATGATCAAAACCAGAAAATTAACACTGATACAATTCTATTATATGATCTACAGACACCTTATTCAGATTTTGCCAACTGTGCCAGAGGGCATTTTTATTGATTGATTTTATGGGGGGGGGGCAGGGAGAAAGGAGGGGAGAGAGATCGATTTGCTCTTCCACTTATTTATGCATTCATTGGTTGCTTCTTATATGTGCCCTGACCAGAGATCAAACCCACAACCTTGGCATATCAGGACATAGCTCTAACCAACTGAGCTGCCAAGGACCCCAAAGGGCATTTCCCCCCCCACACACTAAAACTATACCCAAGTCCCATTACACATCAATACCATAAAGTTGGCTCTTAAGCTCTGTTCCCTCCCCTATCTCACATGCAATCTTAAATAAACATGCTCAATCTATAGAACTAAAAATCTAATCAACCGTTTTCATCTTTCCTAAATATAAATCTTCCAGATTCTTATTAGACCCAGAATGAATGCCCCATCACTTTCAAATCTGCCAAAAAAAGGGGGGGGGGGAGGACTAAAACACAAAAGGTAAGCTGCTTGAAAGACAGGCCGACTTCTCACACCCATTCTAATCAGCACTCAACCCGATACTCAGCAAAATTCATCTGGGCAATAAAAGTTACAATCAGCTAAGCAATTTCCTGAGGAATCCTGGGCCAATGGAGAGATGCCATTCTTAAAAGTTCAAAAGCATCATTATTACCACTTGTTTCCTGAGGCTCTCACAAATGAAACAATTAAAATGGCGGGCTTGCTTTCTGATTTCCTTTCCTTTCTCACCATCCCTACTCACCTCAGTTCTTTTGTTAGTTATGTTCTTAAGGATGGATACAGTGAGAAGCTGCAGAACCTACTAACTCTGCTGCTCTCATCTCTAAATCTCAGGGCTCCAGGTCCTCTTGATCTAGATGGTGCAATTATTGCAGGCTGTTGCACTGCCAGCCACAGCCTTCCATAACCATGATGAACCCTCTAGAGAGCACACTTACAGGATGGCAGAATCCAGCACCTGGAAAGTGTCTTTGTTTAAGGCTTCCATTAACACTCCTAATGACATCCCCAGACAGAACTTGCAACAGTACTGAAGCAACCTTCCGAGCCAAGTTTCTTAGTAGCATTCACAACAATGCTAAAGCACCTCTTGCTTCCAATTTCAAGAGTTAAAAAAAGGAGGGGGTGAGGTAAATACTCAAATACCCAGGGGACTGCTAGCCAGAAAGGGGCAATATCCTGTAACCAGACCCCACTGAGTGGAAACTTAGGAGGGGAGAATAGCAGAAACTCCTCTGTCCCAGTTCACTCTCTGACATTTCCCAGGGGGTACTGACTGCCTCTTTCCAGAGCTCTCTTACAAGTGCTGATGGAAAATCAAAACCATCAAAGGTTGTGAGGGTAAGGAGGGAGGTGCCAAATAGGAGTTTCTCCATGATTTAATAGTGGCCTGTGGTTTAAAACCATAAAAAATAATATATAAAAAATAAAACCAGTTTCCAATATTACTACCTATTCTAACACTTAAGGGAAAACTGTAACTACCAAATTTTCTAGATGCAAAGATACACAGCAACTTTAATAACTTGGGGGGGGGGGATAATGCAATACTGTATAGAAATTTAAGATGAAATTATGTGCCCTGGCCGGTGTGGCTCAGTTGATCGAGGGTCATCCCATACACGAAGAGGATGCGGGTTCAATTCCCAGTCAAGCCATGTATGATAGGCAGTCAGTCAATGTTTCTCTCCCTTTCTCTCTCTGAAATCAATAAAATGTATCTGAGGGTGAGAATTATAGGGAAGGAAAAAAAAAAAAAAAAGATGACATGGCCCTAGACATGGTTTGGCTCAGTGGTTAAGAGTATCAGCCCTCGGTATAAAGGGTCCCAGGTTCGATTCCAGCTAAGGGTATATACCTCGTTTGCAGGCTCCATCCCTGGCCCCGGTCAGGGCACGTGCAGGAGGCAACCAATCCAAGTGTCTCTCTCACATCAATGTTTCTCTCTCTCTCTCTTCCTTCCTCTCTCTCTAGAAAGCAATGGAAAAAATATCCTCGAGTGAGGATTTAAAAAAAAAAATGACATGATGTACATATTACATATTTTCCAAAATGTTAAAATATGAAGGGAAAAAGTTGGTCTTAGAATCAAGGAAATATGATAATTTGCTCTACATCTGCACCATCCAGATAAGAACTAAGGTGCAGATAAGTAATGAGTTAGAAAACTGTTCTTACAAGTTTTGCCAGATAGCCTAAACTTATCAAGGTTTCTATCTTAACTTCAACTAGCTATGCTCAGAAGCTGTACAGAAAAGATATCTATATTTCAATGGTCAATAAGCAAACTCAGCAAAACAAGATTAAACTGCACTCATAACTCAAAAATAACATCTCCCATTCCAAAAATATTCTTAGTCCCAGACTCAGCTCTTAACAGAGCTTGAGTATTCCAAACCATTTACTAGGTAACTCAGCTAACATGCAGTTACATGAAAATCTTTGTTTAAAAAAGTGTTAAAATGGTAAAATTTGTTTTATTTTACCATAATAAAGAAAAAAAGTACATTAGATTGCTCAAAAATTCTTTAATACAGCAGTCCCAACACACATCTAAGCCCATTACAAAACTGACACCAGCATTGGTCTGCCTTACCCTGAATCCCAACTTGTATAGAAATCGAGAAACTGGATCCTCTCTTCCACTACTCAGTTCTATATTCAACTAATTATAAAAAAAGGAGGTGGGATTATTTACACAGAATACAACAAGGACAGTGCCTCCTGGACTCATGGGAAATTTGCCTGTACTGCATTTGTACACGACTAATAAATGTTAATCATAACCAAATTCCTTTAATTTGGTCCAGAGCCTCATTTTAAGCCTTCATCCTTAGGAGAGCAGGAATCCCAAATTTGTCAGAATCTGTCAAAATGTGTCATGCATATACTGCTAAAACTGTTGGAAGTGTCACTATTCTGTGCCTCTTCTGCCAGAGGCACCCAAAAAGCAAAACAAAAAACTCAGTGTGTAGTTTTACCAAGAAAGAAAAACTTAAGTAAAAACAGTTTTGAGTTAGGTATTCTGTGATCCATTTTTGCTTGGGGAGGGAAGAGCAGCAGGGCAAGGCAGGAGGAGATATTTTTTTTTTGTCCCACAAGCAAAGAATATACTGCTTATTAAAACAAAGCAAGGAAAACAAAGGGCTTTTCCCTTCAAAATCCCTCCTATTGAACACAGCTTTAATCAAGAAATGAAACACAAATGCAAGAAATATGTACAGGTAGCAAAAGTGTATATTCACCAACCCATCTAACTTGGTCTATTAAACCCTGAAGGAAGAATAGTCTTCAGATATAAAAGATAAGTCTTTAATTAATAATGCTGCCCTACTGCAATTCTGAGCATTGACAACTATGAAGAGACACACATTCTTATCAATGAACATCTATGTCTAGTTAAATCCATTGTTCTTGATATCTTCTTTACCCTTGTCCTACAATGAAAAGATTATTATTAAGTGCCAGGCCTTAAAAAAGTTCCCTGCCTTGGCTGAGTAGCTCAGTTGGTTAGAGCATCGCCCCTATACACCAAGGTTTCAGGTTTGATCCCCAGTTAGGGCACATACCAGAATCAACCAATGAATGCATAAATAAGTAGAACAACAAATCTCTCTCTCTCACACTCACTCAAATCAATAAATTAAAAAATTCTCTTATTCCAACACTTATTAAGTGCAGTGCACATGAATAAAACATGGCCAAAAGCTATGCAAAACAGAAGCAATCATGCATTTAGTATGCATTTTAAAAAAATATCCTTGCCTTTGAAAAATAAAAGCCTGCTGACTGCTGGAGCCAGAACAGTAGCTGCCTCAGTGTATACAATTTAACATTAAACCAGCAAGTCAAAGAAACATTGTTCACACAGTTAAACACTGAGTTTGTGAATTATGGTTCTTCATTCTGTTGTAATTTGATCATCTTAAATTCTGTTCCCACACATTTAGAAGCGACCAAGTTGATACTTAAAAGAGAAAATAAAAAATCCCATGTGGTTAAATTTTTTAAAAAGGAGGCGGGACTGTCTGTAATTTTTCAGTAGTTCTTCCTATTGATTTTCAGAATCTGTATAACCATGTCCTTAACATAGTGGTGAAAAGCATGACCTGCTGTATTCGAATCCTGGCTGTTCTTTCCTTAGCTGTATGACATGCAACAAATTTCTGGCACTTAACCTCATCGTGCTTCAGTTTCCTCATTTGTAAAAGAGTAATATACAATATTACCTACCTCATAGGGTTGAGGATTAAGTGAGATAATACAAATAAAGTGCTTAGATTAGTGCTTCATACATAAGACTGGCTCAATGTGTTAACCATTATTGTTACTAATGTTAATGCTCATCACTCTCAAGTCCTCAGTGTATGCTTATCCCTTTTAAAAATTTAGTTTTAGCCCAGCCGGGCGTGGCTCAGCGGTTGAGCGTCGACCTAGGATCCAGGCGATTGGGGCTCGATTCCCAGTCAGGGCGCATGCCCAGGTTGCGGGCTCAATCCCCAGTTTGGGGCGTGTAGGAGGCAGCTGATCAATGACTCTCTTATCATTGATGTTTCTATCTCTCCCTCTCCCTCTCTTTTCCTCTCTCTGAAATCAATAAAGATATATTAAAAAAAAAAAAATTTAGTTTCAGAAGACATTTATCACAGGCCTAATTTACATATGCCCTATAAATCATTTTTAAAAAAATTATTCAACCATTAACTCACAGCTAGCTATATCCTGAAGACTTAATATTTACCCAAATTAGAAATTAAATGGGCAGGGGGAAGGGGGGGTCTTAAGAAAATTATAAACTGGAATTTAAAGAAACTTGACAAATCTTATTACTAGTTAAAATGACTTTTTTAAAATCCTCACCCGAGGATATTTTTTCCATTGCTTTTCAGAGAGAGTGGAAGGGAGGGAAAGAAACATCGATGTGAAAGAGATACATCGACTGGTTGCCTCCCGCACTCATCCCAGCACCTGCAACAGAGGTATGTGCCCTTGGCCACTATTGAACCCAGGACCGTTCAGTCCACAGGCCAATGCTCTAACCACTGAGAAAACCAGCCAGGGATAAAATGACTTCCCTTTAAATGCCATACCCCTCTTCTGGCACATTTACACCGTACCTCCTGTCCCACAGGGTCACAGGCATTTTGAGAGCCTAATAACCACTAAGTGGTAATCTGATGTGGCAGGGATTTTGAGGAAGTAAATGGTCATTAGCTTGATGCTTTCCTTGCCACCCCTAGGAAGTTGGCCTATTCAGTTTAAGAAATTCCACTTCAACTAGGATTGGGCTTTGATTTTGATCTGAACCATACATGTCCCAGTCCCTGCTCCCCTTAATTTGGGCCAAAATCTCTGGATTAGCTAATACTGAATTCTGCCTCTCTAGGGGACTGCCTCCGAACCAATCCAGTACCTCGAGATGGAATGTCCATTGCCTTCAATACATTATTTTTCATTCCAAATTTTGACACTACTGAATCACTCTCTATATAACCACAACTGTCTGACAGACACCGAATCATAAGCAGCCCCCAATGTCCTAAACACATAATCACCTTCCAGTATAAACCAGCAATCCCTCCCCAGTTAACACCATATTTAGTCCAAATGAAAACAGGCATAAATTAGAACAGCACATCCACTCCATCCTCACCCTTGAAGCTCTCTTTTCATGTGTTTTGGATTCCAGTTAATTGTACCAAAACTTCTCACACATTTGGTTTTAAGCACCTTCAGACCAAAGCTTGCGTACGAATCAGCTTGCTAGCCAGCCCCCACACTTAAGCACAACGAGGAGTCTCCAAGTAAACTTAGATCCCATTATCTGATCAAGAGTGTTATGACCTCAAATCAACATTCCCCAGCTGGCTCAGAGGGAGACTTACCTCTAATGGTCACTCAAGTCCTAAAAGCCAACTTCTACTGTGTTTCTCTCCTTAGTTTAAACATTGTCTTTGGGAGGGGCAGGGTGGGGCTTGGCAGCTGAGCATGGACCTAAGACCCAGAAGATCGAGGTTTGATTCCCAGTCAGGGCACATACCCAGGTTGCGGGCTCGATCCCCAGTCAGGGGCATGCAGGAGGCAGCTGATCAATGACTACTCTCTCATCACTGATGTTTCTCTCTCTCTTTCTCCCTTCCTCTCTGAAATCAATAAAGATTTTTTGATCCTCACTTGAGGATATTTTATGTATTTTTTCTTTAAAGACTATCTTTGGAAAAAAATATGCATTAAAACTACTCCATGAAATATTTTAGAAACTCTGGGGGTTAACAAAACAGCTGAGTGGAAGACACTTCTACCAGCTTCTACAGCCAAGTTAAAGTAGCAAAGGATAATTTAGAAGATTGAGCATCAAGAGAATAATGAGTGTTTTCCCAGAGGAGATTAACACTCTTGGGGTAGTTTATGAAATAAAGTGAAACTCTTCAGGTCAGCAGTAGGACCTTCTATAATAATACCACTGACTACATTCATATAAAATTTTACAATTTGCAAAATGTTTTTATATACATTATCCCCTTTGATCTTCACACCAATACCTGAGGGAAGGGCAAGAATGATTAGTCCACTTTAAAGATTAAAAAGAAAGTTCAAAAAGGCAGTGTAATAGTGGCACAAGCACTGGATTTGGAGTCACGAGTCCTGCCATTTTCTACCACATAACTTTGGGAAAATCATTTTACCTGAGGTCCTCTAAACTTTCTCATCTGCAAGATAAGGATAATTAATACCTGCTTTACCAAGTTTATTGAATGACAATAAGAAAATTTGTGTGAAATAATTGTAAAGTGCTATACAGACAGTAGTATCGTATTAACCACCATCATAAAGTTACAATACATAAATAGTAGAGCCAGATCCAGGTTAGGGGTCCTCTGACCTTAAAGTTTGGTACTCTTTCTACTAGTACACCCTACAGTAGAAAAGCAAGTGTTCATTATGGCAGTTCCAGCCATAAATCAAGAGAAATCTTTTTTTTAAATTAACATATGCTGATTCCTATGACACTTTTCTGTACTTTTTAGCATTTCTACAATAAGCATGAACTATACCCATAGCAAAAAGTATATCTAGAGCCCGTCCAGGCGTGGCTCAGTGGCTGAGCGTCTACCTAGGATCCACCAGATCATGGTTCGATTCCGGGTCAGGGCACATGCCTGGGTTGCGGGCTCCCCCCAGTCGGGGGCGCGCAGGAGGCAGCCGATGATCAGTGACTCTCTCTTATCATTGATGTTTCTCTCTATCTCTCTCCCTCTCCCTGCCTCTCTCTGAAATCAATAAAAATATTTCTTTAAAAAGTATATGTAGAAATGCTGACTTATATGGGTTAATTTTATCTTTCCTATTCTTCAGGAGAGTAAGACTTTAGTCAGAGCAATAGTAGAGAAGGGAAGAAAGTGGGTACTAAGCCATGTTTCCACAACAAGATGAATAATTTAAGAAGGAAACTCTGAATCTAAATTACAGATTGCATTTCTCAAGAATTCATTCTGTCCCCACTGAAGGAAAATGTCAGAGAACCTAAATGTCAACATAGTACTTAAGCCAGAATAAAAAATATCCGACAAAGAGGAATAAGAAATCATCAACGACAGTGCATCTAATAATTATAGAAATAAGTGTTCGCAGAAGCCAGAAGAAACGTGGTTGTGAGACTGGAAAAATCTGTCTTGAACTGAATTCTTAAACTACACATTCTACCAAAAGATAAAACAGAAACAAATATCAATAAGTAACTAGAAAAGCCCATTCTCCGCTAACCTTTAACCTTAAAATCTTTGTGTTTCAGGCACAGTCAGCTCTTCTACTGGGTTACACATTCACAAGTTAACTATTGCTAGAACAGAGTCTCAAGTTCAGAGAGGTTTCTGTTCTTCTTTGGGGTGGGCAATCAACCTGCGTTGGCACAGGGTAGCAACTCCACCACACTTAATACACAAAAATACCACAGCCTACTTATGACCACAGCTCCAGCAAGCAGGTCCCAGAAAAAACAACTACGCCCGACACCGCCCTTCCTAATCGGACTTTGAGAAAGACGCCCACAAGGCTCTGGACTGAAGAAAGCCAAGCCACCTCACCTGTCCGAAGGTAACCAATCAGACCAGAGCGCCGCTGCCCTGCGGGGCTGGGAAGCCAAGCCAAGCCCCGGTCTCTCCACACCCCCCGCTTCGGCTGTTGGCTTGCACGTAACTAAGGAGCCTCGCGTGTCACAGCAGTGTGACATCACCCGCCCCGCCGTGACAGGGCAGCCAGCCTGACCAGGCCCGTCTCGAGACCCGGCGCCTGCCTCTCACCCAGAGGCGCCGAGTCAGAGGGCCCGCTGGCCCGCAGCAGAGCAGCGAGCGGTCGGGAGGGCGGGGGTCACTAACCCGCGAGGTTTTGCTTTCATTCCCCTCGGAAGGAAGGGGTGGGGAACGTGCCCTAAATTCCAGATGGGCCTGGGCCAAGGGGCCCCTGCGTATACTCTACGGGGAGGAAGGAGAAGGACGAAGGCTGGGAGGAAGGAGGAAAGGGAAGCTAAAAAGGGGCCTTCGCTGGCGCTCCCACGCAGAGTGGGAGGCTGACCGCCCCCGCCCCTCCCCCGCTCCTGTATAGTTGCGCAAGCGCGGTACCAGTTCCTCCCTTCCCTTCCCGGCCCAGCTTTCCGGAGTCCAGTCGCAGAGCAAGGGCCTTTTCTCACAGGGTGCAGTCTGTCCGAAAACGGACACCACTCCCATCGTCCTTGAGACAACAGCTGCTGGACCTCCCCCCTTCCGTTCTTCACCCCCGGCTAGCGCAATCCTAGTTTCACACGTACCTTCTTACCCGCCTCTCTGGAGCCCACAAAGCTCTCTTAACACCGGATACGCTTCTGACTCTCCCAGGGTGCGCTTCAGACTCTTTACCCCGAGTCCGCCCCTTCAAGGAAGCCCCGCCCCCAAGCTCCTTTTAGAACCAGTCCTCATTGGCCGTTGGCTGCACTTCTGCCACTTCTTTGGCCGTACACGCAAGAACTTCAGCCGCTTACTTCAGAGCCATTCGTTAATGTCCTTGTCAATCAAATCTCTGGCACCAATCGGCGTCGTAGAAAAGGTCTCATCCTTCTTCCCGCCTACAGTAAGGAAGGAAGCAAGTCCAAAGCCACCTCTAGTGGAGAAAGTGAAGAAGGGCAGGCCCCACCCAAGACACCGACTTCGCAAATAATAGATATCCCCACGACGCGTGATGGGGTGGCGCTGCAAAGTCCCGGGATTCTAGGGTTAGACTTGTTATGGAATATTAATGAGGGAAAGAGATTAAAAAAACATAGAGAAAAGCTCTCTCGCCCTGGCTGGTGTGGCTTAGTTGGTTGAGTGGCATCCCATGCCCTAAGAGGTCACCGGTTCAAGGTCAGGGCACGTGCCCCGGGTTGCTGGCTCCATCCGGGTAGCGGGTGTGCAGGAGGCAGCCGATCAATGTTTCACTCTCACGTCAATGTTTCTCTCTCCCCCTCTCCCTTCCTCTCACTCTAAAATCAATAATAACATATTTTTAAAAAGAAAAGAAAAGCACTCTCACGGGAGCCAATTTGCAATGAATCTAGTGGAGCTTAAGCTTCAGAGCATCTTTGAATCCACCAGCTTAATAAAATGGTTCTTTTATGCCATCAACTTCGGAGTCTCATAGGTAACTGAAACACAGTTCTTCCTACAAACCAATAAGAGACCAAAATCAACATAAAAATGGTCAAAGGGTATAAACAAGCAAGTCACTGAGAGAAAACCCAAATGGCCAATAAACATATTTTTTAAATTCTCACTAGCAATTAGAAAAATGCAAACTGAAACAATGGTATAACATTTCACACAAGACTGACAAAACCAAAAAGTTGACAACTCCGGTATTGGTAAGTGGAAAAACAGGAAATCATACACTATTGATCTAATGGAAAACTAGCATAAACACTTTGGATAGCAATTTGATGAGATCTAGCAAAGTTGAACATACCCTTATAACTTATCGGTATGTATTTTAATTCATACGTATGAAGATAAATGCCTAAGGTTGTTCATTGCAGCATTTTTTGAAGTTAAAAATTAGAAAGATGGTATATCTATACCATGCATTCTCAACATCAGCAGTATCATCCCTAAAGGGGTGAAAATTGGTTCTAAGAGGTGCCAAAAATCTAGATGTGGTTTGTGGTAGTGACCCTCCAAAACTCAATCCTATCCAACAAAAACCTTATTCCTTAGTTTTTAATTTCTCTTGTTGGGAGAAATTAAAATTGTGATTCATTTAAGAACTTGTAATTAATTAAATTTTTTCCTTGAAGGAGATAATAAAAGAAAGGTTGAAAAGCAGATTTATACAATGAAAAACCATATAGTTGCTAGAACAAATTTAATAAATTTACATGTATCAATATGGGACACATCTTGAACACAATGTGAATGAAAACAAATTACATATTGTTACATGCAATATGATGCAACTGATGTAAATACAAAGCAACACCCGGAACAATAATATATATTATCAATATATGCATAGGAAAGGTTTTTATTTTTATTTTTAAATATATCTTTATTGATTTCAGAGAGAGGAAAAGAGAGGGAGAGAGACAGAAACATCAATGATGAGAGAGTCATTGATCGAGCCCGCAACCTGGGCATGTGCCCTGACCAGGAATCGAACCCCGATCGCCTGGATCCCAGGTCGACGCTCAACCGCTGAGCCATGCCCGGCTGGGCCATAGCAAAGGTTTTTAAAAACTTGTGAGACAGGTCAGTAAGCCATGACAAGTGGTATAGGGAAGCTGAGACAGCAGAACAAACTGGCAGAGCAATTTATAACAGATACAGAAGGTCGCCTCCCTAGAGATAACATCCAGGCCTCAGTTGTATTTCAGCTCCAGACATAGAAAAGCAGCAAAAACAGGTGGGCAACACCAGGACCAGCTGCAATGAATGACGACTCACTGCCCCGACACTGACCAATCAGTGGAGACCAGGACCTTGAAGGAGCACACCTAGGAAACTGATGAATATTCTACTGAAACCCTCCCCTGAGACCTCCTCTAAGATTCCCACCTGCAAGAGAGAAAAAAGGCCTCAAGACAAAGGACCCACCTGGCCAGTTTGGCTCAATGGTTGAGTGTCCACCTGGAGGTCACAGTTTGATTCCAGTCAAGGCACAGGCCAAGGCTTGATCCCCAGTAGGGGGCCTGCAGTGACTGTCTCTCAACATTGATGTTTGTCTCTCTCCCTCCCTCTCCTTTCCTCTCTCTGAAATCAATAAAAACATATTAAAAAAAAAAAAAAAGACAAAGGACCCAGCCCACACTCTCCCTCTGGGGAACAGCCTCTGCCATTCCCTTTCCCCTCTTCTTCCTCCACTTCTTCCCCCATAGGCATGCATCTCCTAAACTGTAAGGGACCCCGCAAGACTTGTAACCAGGCGAGCAATGGGCAACTGTAGCTCGTCTCAGGCTAATCCTCTGAACCTGTCCCCAAGGCCCCCTTTTCTCTGGCTTCCCAGCAAGCTGAGGCAGCCCAGCCTAGGCTCTCCTGTTGCTTCCTCTATGCTAGGCCCTTTCTTGTTTTACTGTCCCCAGCTTTAATAAATGTTCCCTCATATTCACCTGGACTCATGTAGTGAAATCTTTCCTGAGTGATGTCAAGAACCCACACACTGCCCGGCTGGCATGGCTCAGCAGTTGAGCATCCACATATGATCCGGGAGATCGTGGCTCAATTCCTGGTCAGGGCACATGCCCAGGTTGCGGGTTCTATCCCCAGTGGGTGGCGCTGCAGGAGGCAGCCAATCAATGACCCTCTCATCATTATTTCTATCTCTCTCTCTCCTTCCCCCTTCCTCTCTCTGAAATCAATAAAAATATAAAAAAGAAAAAAGAACCCACACACTACCAGCCGGCCCTAGGCAGACCCGCTTAGGGCCACGTACCCTTTCTGGCAACACTTGGACTGTATAAATGTTAGATTCATGATAATAGATGCCTCTGAGGAGGATGGGAGGGGAAATGAGATTAGGGAAAGGAAGTGTCAACATATTTATAATGTCCTATTTTTATGAGAAATTATCTGCCCGGCTGGGTGTGGCTTAGGGGTTGAGCGTCGACCTAGGATCCAGGCGATCGGGGTTCAGTTCCCGGTCAGGGCACATGCCCAGGTTGCGGGCTGCAGCCGATCAATGACTCTCTCATCATTGATGTTTCTATCTCTCTCTCTCCCTCTCCTTTCCTCTCTCTGAAATCAATAAAGATATATTTTTTAAAAAAGAAAAGAAAAAGAAATTATCTGAAGCAAAAGTTATGATCTCTTAAAATTTGTTATTTCTAAGCAATGGGCACTGGGGGCACTTATTATTATTCTCCCTGCTTTTCTGTTCCCCCCCCCAAAAATAACTTTTAAAATTGAAACAAAATAAAAATTTTAATATTTCAAAAGTTTCTATTTGTTTTTGGTATGTGTTAAGTTCTTCTGTATGAGTGGGTCTGTGTCCATGAAATACAATTTAGGAAGATAGAGTATGAATGGGTGAGGCAAGCAGTGTTTGCTTATAAAACAGATTTTAAACACACACACGCACACATACATACATACATACATGCATACATACATACATACATACATACACACAATCACTGCCTGCCTCCTGGCCCTAAAGATATTTGAGTTTACCTAGCCCAGAAACCCTTTGCTCTCAGGACCCTACAGACCTTTCCCCTTTCTCCTCTCTAGTCCCCAATCCAGGGGAGGGAATTTCTTCTTAGTGTGGTGAAGGTTCTTCTCCTTTCTCATGCCCTTGAATACTTTGCCAAGGAAGTAAAATGCTTGGCAGGCATTTATTTGTTCACCCACCCTACCTTATTTGCCATATTTTCCCCCGAGGCAATAAGCATAAAGCCAATTAACTGCTTGATGGGGGGAAATAGAGGAAAAACAAAGTAGAGTGTCTTAGATTGTGATTTAAGGCAGCCAGCCATAGCTGCCAGGTTTGGAGTGCCTGCTGTGTGATAGGCACTGTACTCTCTAGATCCTTTTATAATCTTGTGAAATTTAAACTCACAAGATTTTTGCCTGGCCAGGCGTGGCTCAGCAGTTGAGCGTCTACCTGGGATCCAGGCGATCGGGGTTCGATTCCCGGTCAGGGCACATGCCCAGGGCATGGGCTCGATCAGTGACTCTCTCATCATTGATGTTTCTGTCTCTCTCCCTCTCCTTTCCTCTCTCTGAAATCAATAAAGATATATTTTAAAAATAAAAATTAAAAAATAAACTCACAAGAATTTAGAATAGGAACTTAAGGGTAGATAGTGATATGAACAAATAAAGACAAATTTGTCTCTCCATGCCCCCTTCTTTATTTGTCCATATCACTGTCTACTTTAAATTTCACTTTTCTACCCACTAATACCAAGCTAAATTATATATAAGCTGCCTTCCAGGAGAGCCTGGAACTTGGTTTTCAGAAAGCAGAGAAATACTCTTAGGAAATGGCTCAAGGAAATTGTTCCTATATAGGATAGTAATGGCTATCACCCAGTCAACTCTGAAAATCCTCAGCAGGTATGTATCCAACCTAAAGTTAGGAGACCACATGTAGGGAGACCAACCATCCATTTGCCTGAATCTGAGGGATTTCCCCAGAGGTGGGACTTTCAGTGCTAAAACCTGGACAGGCAAACCAGGATGATTGCTAGCCCTAAACCTGGGACAGAGTGAAGGTTGTAGGGTGGAGACCTAGGTAGGGAAGATGGCAGAAGTGAAAGCTAAGTGGCTTCCATCCACAGAAATGAATTTGAAGGACAATTTTGTTGAGTTTCCAATTTCAAAGGGTATGGATGTACCTAATAACCAAAAAGCAAAACTAGAAGACCTTAGGAAGATCTCTTAAGCTTTG